GCGCGGCGGCGCAGCCTCGGTGCCGCGCTCGCCGGACTGCGCCGAGTGTCCGGCCGCCCGCTGCTGGGAACGGCAAAAGAAGGGGCCGAGCGGCTCCACCTCCCGCCCGCAGGGACCCAGAGGAGGGGCGGGCGGCCACTCCTGCGCCTTCCCAGGCCTTCCCAGGCCCGCAGGGCAGGCATGGTCTGTCCGAGGAGGAGGAGGAGGAGGAGGAGGAAATGCCAGCTCAGCCCCCGGCGCGGGCCGTTCCCAGGCTGCGCTGCCGAGGCGAGCCCAGGTCAGGGCGCTTCGCGGGACGCGGAATCCGCGCTGCCCCGACGGCCTCGGCCGCCGTCGGGCCGGCTCCGGGCGCCGCGCTGGCTGCAAGGGGGCCCCGCCGCGCCCCGGGCTTGCTGTGAAGGGGGCTCGCCCGCCGAGGGCAGACGCTCCTCGCCCGGTGGCCCAGAGGCGCCCGCCCTGGCGGGGCCGCTCCCCGAGCGCCGCACCGGGGCTCCAGCCGGTTCCCAGGGCTCCTGCTCGGGCGGGCGCTTGCAGCCCCCCCCCCCCAATCGTCGTTTTTGCGCTGGCGCCCGGCAGGGATCGCCTGCCATCCTGACCGCCAAGCGTCCCCCCTCCCCCCGCGAGCCCGGGCAGCGGCATCCTTGACTTCTCTCCCGCCTGCCGGTTTGCTGCTCAGGGCTTCGGAGGATCCGTATGGCAGCATTGCGGGGTGGAGCCGAACTTAGTCCTACTCGAGAGTAGACCCAACGACACCAATGGGCTTTTACTCGCTCATGATCCACTTTACGATCCACTGATTTTAATAGGCTTGCTCAAAGTAAGGCGAAGCCAAGAGCCAGCTGCTGATCAACCGACCGTGCTGCGCCATGTCCACTAACAGCCTTCACGTGGGCATCGCCTGGGACTGGGGCCTGCAGAACCGAGTTTCCTGCCCTCTGCGTGGCATCCCCCAAATCTGCCCCTGCTTTGTGCCCCCGGGGAGGCCAAAGGAGGAGTCCAGGCCTCTTCATGCAGCCACCTCAGGAGATGACGCCAGAAGCGGCGTCTGTACCGAATGCACTTACAAGTCAGCCATAACTCCAGTCACATTGTTTGGTGCATGTCGAAACTTTTAATTTTTCTTTTCTTTTTTTAATAAGTTTTATTCAAAATTATAACCCTAACTAAAAACATCAATCAACAAAAACATTGGACCTACTGGGTCAGCCCCCACATTTTTTTCCATTAATGATTTTAATTTTTCAAAGTCATTTAAACTCTTTTAGCATTGCTATTATCAAGAGGCTTTTTAAAAATGTGGCCATGCTGCAGTCCACTTTGATCTCTTTGAGGGGCTTTGCAACCATGAAAAAATACCCTTCTATAGTAACAAACACTAGCAAAAGCTATCCATTCTCAAATGTCGAGCAGGAAGCAAATACAACAGATTTTGTATGCAAAAACACAAATTAAAATAGCTTCGCTCAAGACAGTAGGGGATGAAACACAATCCAAAGCTTACAGCAACCAAGTTCAGCATCCAGATTCCAGCAAGACAAGCAAAGCGTAGCCAGTTTCAGGAGACTGAAGAGCTAATGCAGATATAAGCCCTTAGTAAAGTATCTAACCTTATGCAATCACAATCCTGCAGCTTTGCACTTCCAGGTGACTTCCTGCTCAAATATTCCCAAAACAAATCCTGGGATCAAAAGTTTCAAACCCTGAGTGCATCACGGGTAGCCATCCAAGCAAACCCAGCGCATTATCCGAGCTAATGAGTTTCGGGCTGGACCGTTTCAGCACAGCCTTTTCCACGCAAAGCATGTGCCCAAAGCCAGCCTCCCCCAGCACCCATCCCCAGCATGGCCTCCCCCAACCCAGCGCCCTCCAGAGGGGTTGGGCAACTCCCGTCATCCCCAGCCATCACAGCGGCTTCAAGACAGAATGGCCAGTACCCCAGCCTGCCCTCGCCCGGCATGGCTATATTTGCGCTCTTGCAAGACTACTAGGGGCGTTTCTGTTCTGGAAGGCCCAAAGCAGCGAGCCCCCAGCCAGACTGCGAGGCACGGACCGTGTGTGTCTTGCCCATGCTGCTCGCTCATGGCCGGGATCCCGCCACTTTCCTTTCCGGATGAAGCGAGAGAGGCTGCAGAGGCTGCGGGTCTAAGCTCCCTACTCCTCTGTCCAGGCTGCTGATGGGAGAGCCTGCCATGGGCCGAGATGAGCTGAAGCCACCGAGGGGCTTCCAAAGTTAAAGAGCCGAAGGAGGAAGCAAGCACCGCAGAACCTCCAGAAGAGAAGCAGGGAAGCAGCCGCTAGGTGGGCTCGTTGCTCCCCCTAGTGGCGAACAGCACGGCTGCACCTCGGCCCAAAGTTCCCTGCTTGCCTTCTCTAAGCTGGAGCGCTCCAGAAGTGTGGGCCGCAGCTCCCATCAGCCCCATGCTGTTTGAAGATGATGGGATTGTTGGTGCAGCACATCTGGAGGTCACCAGGCTGGTCTGTGCACAGGGAGTGTCCATTGGCAAACAGTAGCCCACAAACTGCGGGGGGGGGGTCTCCACGGCACAGCGGTGCAGCAGCCCTTTTCTCCCAAGCTGCTTTCCCAGACTGCATTTCCCTCAGAGCTGTTTGTCCCATTGGGAATGACGGGGCCGAGAAAAACAGGATGGAGAAGAGGTCGCTCTCCTGCCGCGTACTCAGTGGTCGCACATCTGCAGCCAGAAAGTGCAGGCCGATCCATTGCAACACATGTTTTAAAGAAGGAAATTAGTGTGGTTTGGAAGCCAAGGGGCTTAAAACAGATGTTCAGCAATTTCTCCCTGCGTGTGTGTGTTTCTGAGAGAAAGAGAAAGAGATGCCCAAGAGTTCCTATTTTCACTTGTGAAAAGTTGCCCATTCTGGGAACATGAAGCCCCCCCCCCCCCCCCGGTGACACCCAGTTCGGATGCACGTGCTGCGTCCCTCCAAACCTCCTTCTTAACCTGCTGTAACGGTTCCATTGCACATTCCAGTTATTCCAAGGCAGCCCTTTGAGCCCCCAGCTCAGCATTGCCTACACCGGAGAGCAGCCGCGGCCCTTGGGTTCCAGGCGGAAACTGTCGCCCGGTGCCGGCCGATTGCGAGTTCCAAGCCAGACCCTGCCCTTTGCCTTGAGCTCAGCATGGGCCAAGCAGGTTGGAGCCTGCGACTGAGAGCGAAACTGTCCGTCCAAAGCACGTGGGGTGGGCAGAGCCCAGGCTATTCTGCGGTTGCCAAGGAGGCCAGTGCTCCTGCCCAAAGCGAGCTCTCCTGCTCAGGAAAGGCGGTGGCGGGTTTGTGCTGGGGCTGCGGCATTTCCGACAGCCACCGATCAAGACAGAGGCAAGCGGGACAGGAGAGACGGGCAGGGACAAGGGAGCAAAGTTCCCTCTTCCGAAGGAATGTTGAGCCAACGGTGCCGGCGTCCCCCCCAGTCAGAGGTCTGGCAGTCCTTCCCCCAGGTCCCTGCAGGTAAGAAGTCCGGCTTGCACGGCAAGCACAAAGCTAGGCTAGGGGATGCTTCGCTTGACACCTGGCTGTCGGCAGGCCTGCCGGCCACATGGAGGAGCTGCTGGGGGCCTCCCCCGGCAGCCTGAGATGGTACAGCCAGAGACCTCAGCCCTGCTCTGCGGAAGCCTTCAGCTGGGTCAGACCACACCCGCACTTCAGTAACGATGGGGGCAAAGCCAGTGCCAGAAGATGCACCCTGGAGAGCCAAGGCAGCCGGGGCTGAAGGCCCGAGCCTTCCTCCTCCATGAGTTCTCCACCTGCATCTCCCCGCCGGTCCTCCGCCAGGCCCTCTCCTTCCGCATCAAGGGGAGCACAGCTGCTTGAGGATCTGGACGATATTCCTGGGAGCATCCGAGCCGAGGGGCTGAGGGCCCTGCAGCGACTGGGGCCCCAGGCGCTGGGCGTGCAGGCAGAGGTCGCGGGCGAACACCGGCTCCACCTGGGGAGAGATGGCTGGCCGGTCACGGCAAGGCATGTGGCGAGAGCCCGCTGCGGCACGGAGAGGACGGGCCACTCCGAGCGGCCAGGCGGCCTTCCGTCTCTGCTGCATCCAGCTTTCCAGGCCCGGCGGCCCTCACTCAGGCATGGGAACCCGCTTCCCAGTGGGAGGCCAGACGACCATCCCATGGGCTGAGTGGCATCGCAGGGCCCAGCCGTGCCCCCGGGTGTCACTCCGCCTTCGTGCGATGCATCAGCGAGGCGACTTGGCCCGTCGGCGCACCAGGGGCCTCTCGGAAGGACGGAGGCCGCTTTCCCGTGAGAGATGAGAGGGCCCTGGCACGCATCCTGCTCTCAGGCCTGGCCACGGCCCTCCGGAGACTTCTCCGGAGCTTGCCAAGGCTGCACGTGGCCTCTGGTCTCAGGCTGCCTCAGGGTCGCTCCCATCCCTGTGGTCTCAAGCGGCCGCCCGTCTCGGGGGCTGGCGGCTGGGCGGGCAAAGTGGGAGAGCACCTGGGGGGCTGCTGGTTTAAGGACCACATGGTCTCAGGCGGGATGACGGGAGACAAGGGGCATGCCCAACCAGCCCTGTGGGGCAGGGGGGGCACCAAAGCACGATCAGGGCACAGAGTGACTGGCCCTCATGGAAAGTGCTGGCCGAGGCTGGGCGGCCAAGGCCATGGGCTCTCCTCCCTGCCACCCCCCATTTTCTGCCCCCTGCCCCACTGGCCTTGAGCCAGTGAGTGGGAAAGGGAGGGGCAGCAGAGGAAAGGAAGCAGCCGGGCCAAAGCAGGAGGGCCTCGCTATCCCCTCCAGCCCGGCATCCTTCGCGCGCCCGCCAGCCCCCCGCCCCGCTGAGCCGCGGGGAGCCAAACCGGGGTGCCAGCTCCGGCCCCTGCCGCTCCAGCTCAGGGTTGTGCTCGAGACACGGTGCCGTGCAGGCCGCTGCCGGGATACTCACGCAGGCGGTGACGAACTTGTGCAGCTTCTGGTTCGGGGCTGCTGGGTACTCCTCTCCGAAGCAGAAGTGGATCTGGTACTGGGGAGGGGGCTTGCCGTGGTTCAGGAAGCCCCGTAATTCTGGTGGCACAGAAAGAGACCCCAGCGATGTCTTGCGGCTGCCCAGGCGCCTGGGGGAGAGGGCAGGCGAAGAGGCCGCCCCCCGCTGGTGCCCCTGGCCCCAGTCCCCGCAGCTGGGGAAGCAGGCCAGCAAAAGGGCCACTGGCCTGGAAAGCGAGACCCACGTGCTTCCAGGAATGTTGGACTTCCGCTCCCATCAGCCCCAGCCACCATGGCCGGTGGGCAGCAATGCTGGGAGGGGCAATCCAGATCATCGCTGCGGAGCGTGTTGGGGGAAGCTGGTCTCCCGAGTAAGAGCAGGGGAGCATCAGAAAGTGCCACCTGGGGTGGGGTGAAGACCCGCCCTCTTTCCCATCAGCTCCCCTGCCAGAGCCCTCTGCAAAAAATGGGATGCTCGGGGCATATATCCCCACTGAAGCACACGCGGCAGTTCAGCCTCAGTAGGTGGGAGGGTACTCTGCACGTTCTCAGAGACACTCTTGCCGTGTCCCGTATTCCCAGGATGAACGTGGGCCCTGGAATGCGCTGCGGGTGGTGCGCAGCCACAAGGCGAGCAGGGCCGAGCGGGACTGGGTCCGGGGGCGAGGCAGGTACTCACGCTGGAGGAACTGCTGCGTGTCCAGCAGCTTGTAGGTCCGCTCGCGCTCCAGCTTGTTGGGCCGGTCCTCGTGGGGGGCCAGGGGCCCCTTCCAGTAGACGCGGCCCTGGCACTGGCGCTTCGTGAAGACCCCTTCGGGGGCCACCCAGAGGAGGATGCCGCGGTGCAGGTGGGGCAGCAGCCGCTCCAGGACCCCCGCCACCCGGGCGGCCGGGCCGTCCCCCGCCGGCGTGCCGGGACAGGGGAACTGGACCTGCTCCATGGCGCTGGGCCCGTACAGGTGCTCGTTGTCGGCTGGCACCGGGCGGTAGGTGATCCGGCAGCCCTCGGCGGTGCGTGTGGTCACTTCTTTCACCAGCACGTCGCAGTAATAGAGCCGGATGTGTAGCCAGAAGTCTGGAGGGAGAAGCGGGCGCGGGGGTCAGGGCGCGGGGTCCGCTCCCCACTCCCCGGGTGAGCGCTCTGGCAGGGGTGCCCGATGGATCACCTGGCCGCCGTGGAGGCCTCTGGAATTCAGAAGACATCCTGTGGGCACTCGCACAACATGGTGACCAGGCACCGGGGAGGGGGAGAGTGGTTGGGGTCTCGCTTGAAATGGCTGCTAGGGGGGCATGGCCAGTCTCGGGGGGTGAGGGGCAAACTTAAAGATTAAATGAAGAGTAACTGGCCCCAGGACTGCACTACAAGGCGGAGAGGAAACGTGAGCTCCAAAACAGAAAGCCACTCATTTGCAGGGTGGATAAAAAGCAATTTAAAAAACCTCCAAAAAACAGATTTAAACAAAATTAAATCAGATTTCTTTTAAAGAAATGATTTTTTTATTTCAATTGGACTTTTTTAAAAAAATGCTTTTTGGACGACAAAGCTATCTAAAGATACTTCCCTATTTAAGATGCATTATAGTCCAAAGGTTATTCATAATGAAATATGGGTTACTTTTCAATTATGTAGCATGAGGCTATATATCCATGCTGCGTTTAAATTTGTTGGTAAATAAATTCCATTAATCCAGTCACAATGTCATGCTCTTCCAGAGGTTTCTGTAAGATTATTGGGCATTTTTTCTGTCTAGAAGATATTATCACAGATGCTTGGTTTCACAGTTCTCAAAACTGTGAATTTGTGCCTGCAGAAATCACATGCCTCTTCTTCACAGCCAAAATGTTATAAAATAAACATACAGAGCAGAGAAAAAGACCCAAATCCCAGCCTTGCCTTGCAAATATGTTTATGCAGAATCAGCCTCTTCAGGGCTAAGTTTCAAAAATCCCGTGGATACAGGTAGATAGTTGAGAGTGGAATAGATCTGCACAAGAAGCCAAGTGTGAGGAGGGAGAAGGAAGCAGGGAAAAGGAAGTGAAACCTTTGAGCAGAAGAAGCCACAATCTAAGAATCTTTCTGTGTATGGCCTGAGACGTGTCATGTTATCGTTTTGCTGGAGAGGAAAACCTGTAACGGCAGCAGTTTGGCAGCGTCAAAGAGACCAACTCTGGGAATATTTTAAAGAAGTTCTTCTACCTATGGCAAGGAAGGGCATGTGCGCAAATTCTGTAGAAAAGCGTGATTTAAATCTGTGGAAAAGCGTGATTTAGTCTTACTGCCTAGGGATTTAAATCAAATCCCCCCCCCCCGGGCCATTTGCACCTGAATGCACATGGTGCCCGAGGGCGACCCCCTGGCTCCCAGTCACAAATTCGTCCTGTTCAGCTGCCTTCTCCTGCTCCCGCATTTAGGCAGTGGCTTCCTTCGGAGCCACCAGGAAGCCTCGGCACTGTGCAAGCTTTCGGGTGCTCAAGGGCACCTCATCAGGCTACGGGGGCAGCGAAGCAAGGGGGAGCAATTCTTCAGTGGGGAGAAGCAAGGTGTTGCAGCCAGAGTCCCACAGCTGTGCGGGATGCCAGGCTGGCAAGAGCGGCTCTAAACATGCGCAGAATGTGCATGGACCCCTCCAAAGCCAGAAAATGCACCAGGCCCTGCCCGTGTGGCCCGTGTCTGGAAAAAGAGGGTGAGGAAAGGGCTGTGACGCAGGAAAAGGGAACGGGGCGCAGCTGAGGAACATTTCCAGAGTCCCTGTGGGAAAAGTCTGACGGCTGCCACCAACTTCAGTCCGTTTCCCCAGAGGGATGGCGGGCCACGTGCCTAGCCGTGGCTGGAGGGGGTCCGGCCCAAATTATCCTCCGGGGGGGGCACTTCTCCCTCCACACAGCAAGCTGCACCAAGGCCGCCTGTGCCCCCAGCGGTCCTGCCTCCCCCAGCGCTGCAGAAGGGGCCAGCGGGCTGGGCTGGGCTAGGCAGCAGGGGTGCCTCGCACCATGTCTGCCCCGCACGGGGTGCCCGGCAGCTCCCTCCCTGCTCTACCTGAGTTGGTGGTTTCATTGTCCGTGCTGGGGATGACGGGACTGGCGAAGCGTGGACTCGCGTGGCAGCGGAAGTGTGCAGGGCTCCAGCTGTAGAAATAGCCTTGCACCTGGTATCCTGCGTGAAGGGAGCACAGCAAAGCCGGGCATTTCGACGGCTCTCCTCGTCCTCGTTGCAGGCCAGGCACGAGGCCCAGCAGTCCACGGGGCTGTGGCCGGGAGACACAGGGGCAGTTCCTCCGTGCCCATTCCCCGGACCCCTGGAGGGGTTCTGCCCAAACAGCTGCAGGAAGGGGCTGCACGAAGGCTCCCCCGAGGGAGTTGGGGTTCAGGACTGGTCCCTGGCGACTCCTCCCAGGAAAACTCACCATGAAAATCCAGGGGCAGAGAGAGGCAGTCATGGGGCTGCAGCGCCCCCCTCCCCAGGGCAGCCCCAAACATTTTGCAGAGAAGTCCGCCAGTGTCCTTACCGAGGTGATCGGAGAGGCTGGGGTTCTGGAAGGCTTGGGGTGACCCTGGAGTATCCAGGCACGCTGCCCTGGGCTCTTCCGGGCGGCCCTGCCCTGCGTCGGAGGATGACCCGGCCTGAGGAGAAAGGCAACACACAGCTGCAACTGGGGAGGGAGGAACAAGGCGCCAGGACGCTGAACATGTGCATGTTACTTTGCATTAGCATTAAGAACATAAGCATGAGAGGGCATAAGCAAATCCATGACGGATCCGAGCCAAGGTCCACCAGTCCCGCACACACCAGCTGCCCCCGGGAGCCCTCAGCAGGACGGGGGCGAGGCCTCGGCTCCTCAGCAGCTGTTATGCGCAGGCAGGCCGCCTCTGGGACGGAGGGAGCACCTGGCCAGCAAGGTGAGCAGCCACAGGAAGCACTCATTTCCCTTCCTCCCCCCAGAATGGCTAACACGGCTAGCAATATGCAGAAAGGAGGCCCCAGAAAGGCCACCACGAAGCCGCACTGTCCTGCTAACATGCAGCAGAAAACGTCCAACGGACACACTCCCGAAGCCCACAGACAGGCCCAGCTGGGTGTAGCCCAGTGCAAGCGCAGGCCCGGCTCAGCAGGCCTGGCTCGGTCTCTCAGCTTTTGCCGCCCAATGAAGCGGGGTGCCCTTCGTGCTGACTCAGTTTTCCCGATGGACGATTCTAGCAGATTAGCAGGCGCTGCAGCTAATAAGCAAAGGCTGGTGTGAGGCTCGGAGCCTTTCGACCGACTCATGAGATCTGTGCGCGAGCCGAAGCACAGAAGTGGCAGCTCTTAACCGCATCCTGACCTTTGCGCTGCGACCCTTCCCATCGCTGCAGACAGCTCAGTCATCCTCTCAGCAGAAAACTTTCCGCTGCTCCTTTTCTCATGGCATGCGGCACAATTGCAAGCATGGCTGTTTCCACAAACCCACTGAGCTGTTATAAATAAACTCGCAAGAGGAAAAAAAGGTGGGGTATGAATGGAAAAAAGAAGACACTCCGGACAGCTCCTTTGGGGGTACTGGGAAGGCTGGCTCAAGTTTCCGTAGCAGCCCTGGGTGGCCGTGGGTGCTTGCACTGCTCTGGACCCTACCCAGTCCCCCTTCCAGGCTCAAGGTGCAGCAGAGGATTCCGGGGTGGCTGGTTCAGGACACCAGCAAACTTGGAAGGGACGGGCCACCTCCCTGGCATGCCACTTCCAGTTCCTTGCACTGCAGGGCTGGACGGCTGCCAAGTTGAGCAAAGACGGTGGTTGGCGCCTCCTCACAGGGCAGCTCAGCTCTGCTTCGACAGGCTGGTGGTCTTTCCGCAAACACGTCTGGATTGGGGTGTGGCTCCCCCGACAGATGACCAGCACGTGTGTGTGGGCCGAGTGGGAGAAGGCGGCAGGGTGGTTCTTCCCCCCTCCAAGATCAGGGGATCCCCACCGCGAGTGCCTGACCTTGGAGGTGCCGCAGGCGCAGCCCCTGGCCGAACGAGGCGTCCACAGGACCACGGCTCCCCCGGCCCCCCTGCCTTGTGCTTTGGCTTGAGAAACCGCCCTTTTCAGCCAGTGGGGTCCTTCTCCAAGCCAGCCTGCCGCGCAGAGGCCGTGGGGCTGGGTGGGTGGGCTGCCACATTAACCCTTCTCTCTCATTGCCCCTCCAATCTGCATCCCACACGAAAACAGCTCTCCCGTTAGAGGCTTTTTCAAGCCCAGTCGCTTGACCTCTGTGAGCACGTGTGTGTTATGCACGGGAACTGCCGTGTGCGCAAGGGAGAACCGGCCCACCACAGCCTTGGCCCCGCCCACCTTTTGCTTTGCTCCACCCACTGCTGGTCTGGCTGCCCAGAAGGCTAGTCACAACAGGAGGAGGCCCTGGGCAAATGAAATGCCTCCGCTTTGACTAGGGTGCTACAGCAGCTTGCACAAACTCCAGAAACTGAAAGAAATTGAAGACTTGAACATGCCGTAAACGGCAAATACCAACTATTGCTGTGAAGCCAGTTGCCCGAGGATTTACAGCAGCTGAAGGAGTTGTGCAGTTTAAGGAGGAAGCCGCAGCTCCGCAAGAACATACCCCTTTTATTTACTGAAAAAGCCCTCCATCCTGCTCCTGAAGAGGTTTTGAATGTGAAAATATGCCCCCAATGAAGCAGAATCCACAAGAAACGGAAGGAACTGTCAAAGCATGCAAAGGTTATGCCGGAGAACAAGTGCCTAAATATCACAGGAACCGCCACTCGCGGTTCGCGGGAGCGAAAGTGAAAGTGCAGCATTCCTGCTGAAGAGAGGACAGGCCTGCAGCTGCCGGGCTGCTTGCGCTGCAATCGGCGGGGAGAACTCTGTGGACTTGGAGGGTGGAGGCTCAGCTCCCGAAAGCCCCTGGCTGGCCGACCTGCTACCGAAGTGCGGGGTTTGGGGGCAGGGAGGTGTGGAGTCGGAAGGTCCTAGTCCCCTTCCCTCCCCACCTCGTGCAGATCCCGTCCACGTCCTCAGAGGCGCAGGCAGTCGGCCCTTGCTCGTTGCGATGGGGGTCCCGAGTGCCACAGCATCTCTCTGCAAAGCTTAGTGAGGAAGGCCTTCCAGAGGATGGGGCCACCGCCGAAGAGGCCCTGCTCCTTGCTGCTCGGAGAGCTGAGGCGTCCAGGAGGGTGCAAGGGGAAGACAGTGTTTTGTTCAGTGCTTTCAAACAGCTCCTTCAAGTGGGCCCGGAAAGCAATGGACGCAATGCCCTCATTCCCTCGTTCCCACCGTACCCCAGCAGCATCCTCTTCGACTAGGTACAGTTCCCAAAAGCCTCCCAAGGGCAGCCCCACCCAAAGCGCATTGCAGGAGGCCATGAGCAGTAGCGACCAAGGCGAGGTCCTCTCGCGTCTGGGGCGGATGCTGCGCGACTGCGGGTGCTGCTCCCACCCAGCTTGGAGCCCCCTTCGACGGGCCGCCTGGGCCCCACTAAGCTGGCCAAACGTATCTTGGGCTGCGGGTGCAACATGGGCAAGCGACACACAGGACAGGCTGGCAGGGGTGGGAGCAGGTCCTCACACACTGAAGCATCTCCTTTCAGCTTCGTGGGCTCTTTCCTCTGGGGGTGGCATTCAGCACCACGGAGAACTCCCAAGAAAAGCTGCAAGGACGCGGAGCCCCACGGGTGTGGGGCTGCCCAGCCACCCCTGGCAATGCCCTTACCTGGTTCGGCAGGCGGTTCACTCCAGACTCTTGCTGCGCAGACACTGGGGGCTGCCTCGGCTCCCTGGGGGGCCTCTTGCCCTTGCCCTTATCTGGGGACAGAACAACAAAGTGCTCCTTCAGCCTTTCTTTTATTTAGCACGGACATTTAAGCTTCCCCACATGGTAAGAAGCCACCCAGCAGCACAGGAGAATGTGAAAAGGGCACCTTGGAACACTGCAAAGGACAAGAACACCAAGGCTGCTCTCCTTTGTGGGTTTAGACAGAACAAAGGCTCACAATTCCCAGCGTGCCGGCTGGGAACGCCGGGGCGGTGGGGCTTCTCCCATCCCACATGCACAGGATGGCACTTTTAGTCTCCTGGTGCTCCAAGCTCCTCTGTCCAGGAAGCCACCTTCCACCAGGTCGATCTGGCCATCCCTGCCAACTCTGGCTGGCAACAGCTCTTAGGGGAGCGAAAAGGGGGCTCACTACTTGCTCCTGACAACGGGGGGACAGCGAGGGCTGGAACTGAGGCTGCAGGAAGCAGACCGGGGCTCTGCCGCCCTGCGCTGGCTCTTCTGAGAGCACCTGGAGGTGCTTTATATGAAGCAGGCTTTGATCCGCCTAGCCTCTGCGTGGCCATGGGGTCTCTGGCAGGCAAGGGGGCTTTTGTGAGCTCCTAGATCCCTTTTCCCTGGAGGGGGGAGGCAGGAAGCTGCCTTCCACCCCGTCAGAGCCTGGGTCTGCCCAACCGGCCTTGCCAGCCCTGAAAGTGTCCCGCCAGACTTTTCCGACTCTGCTCAGGATGTTGCTGGAGGTGGCAGTGGGACCTTCTGTGTGCCAAGTAGTGCCCCTCTCTGCACTGCAGCCCTCGCCATTCTGCACACATCTCCCTGGGAGGGGTCGGGGAAGGGGGGTGGCTTTTCACAGCGACAAAGCGAGTGCTGCACCCACACCCGCCCGGGACCTCAAGTGGCCAGACGGACCCGTTTCTTGGGACACATCTGTGACGATCTGGTACACTTTGTAGGGCTCCGAAATGTCCAGGTGGCTCCGGTCGGGGACCTCCTTGAAGTCGATGCTTTTGTTCAAGGCACACCGCAGGCGAGTCTTCCAGACGGAGGGGTCAGCCTTGTCCACCCCCTCGTGGTATTTGCCTTTGTAAATGGCCCAGGCCTGCAAGGACACGGGAGAGTCAACTCGATCCGACTCTGACGGTGCGCTGGAAGCTCCAGAGGCTCTCCAGAGGCCCCCCCCCCCCGGTGGCACGTGCCCTGGCAGTCTCCAGCCACATGCACCAGGGGCACTGAGAAAGCCCAAGCCGCAGGCACGGCGAGCGCAGTCGGCCACAGGGAGCTTGCAAGGAGGGACAAACGAGAACTCCATGCAGAAGGGGAACCTGGCGGGATTTCTCCAGCCCAGCCCCACGGAATCTTGTGTTCCATTTCCCCCGATGCCCTTGACAGCAACGCGTTCTCAGCAAGGTGAGGCGCCAGCGGCATGGAGCCAGAGTGCTTTCCCCTTTAATGACAGCCGCCTGTGCAAACTGCTTTCTGTCTTTTTGGAGGGGAGAACTTGAAGTTTGCTCATGAGTAAATATTGGTGAAATTGCTCAGGAGCACAATATCGCAAGTCCTCTCGTCCACTGCTCAGCTCCTTCTCAAAACTTCCTTGCCAGTTCCACCTTCTCCACCAACTGTTTCCTCAGAGTCCTACCGCCTGCTTTTCAAAAGAACACGTCCATTCCCTTCCCTCCAAAACCCCACTTCGAGGAAGAGAAGGAGGACACCGACGAAGTGTTGACAGCAGAGCAATTTGCCTCTGCAAATCTGCTCCGTGGACAGGTGAACTTGCGAACGTGCCCACTTGTGCAGGACCCCCCAAAAAAGCTAAGGAGAAAGCGCGACACCACGTGCGCCACTGCCAAGGTCGCCCTAACTGGAGACTCCGCGGAAGGGAGCTCCCAGCGCCCCACACGCCTAGGGCTCGCAGGAGGTAACGATGGGAGGGGGGTCCCGGCGCGCGTACCTTGAAGAGCGCCGCGTCCTCCTGCTGCCGGTAGTGTTGCTTGGCGGCGTGTTTCCAGGGGATACGGAACTCCTTCTTCTCGCGGTCCTCCCAGCACAGACCCGGGTACCCGCCGCTCTCCACCTGGGCGATGAGCCATTCCTTCAGCCGCATGGGGGGGCCCGCTTCAGCCATGTGCCGGAGCCGCGGGTGGAGGGGCTCCCGCCCCGCGCACCCTCGCGCGCGTCCGCGAAGGCGCTGCCTGCGCCCGGGCCAGCGGGAGACGCCACTGCGCGCCGAGCGGGCTCTCCGCTCGCCTCCGCGCCTGAAGGGGAGCGCCCACCGAGCGGCGGGACTGCCGCTGCCCGGGCCGGGAGTGCGGTCTCCTTCCTCTCTCGGCGCCGCTCGGCGCTCGCGGACCCACGCGGGGCGGGGACGTGGACAGCCCCGGCACTCGCTGCCTGCTGCGCCCGCCCTGCACTGGCGTGGGCACCTCCGGGCCGTGGCCACCTCCCCAGAAAGCTGCTCGCCACTGCCTGGGCGGCGGGTCGAGCCGCGACCGGCGAAACCGAAAGAGACGTGGGCGCTTTCGCTTTCGCTTCTCCCTTCCCCTTGCTCGGGTCCGGGGCGCCGGCGGGAGGTGATGCTCCCGGCGAGCGCCGGCGGGCTCGCTCGGGCAGGTCGCGGTGCCGGCTCTCTGGGAGCCCGGAGGCGGCTGCCGGGCAGAGCTGGATTGGGGCCCCTCGCTCTCGGCGCCTTGCGGGGCGTGGACGTCCCGGCGGTGGGACGGGCCCGCAAAGCGCCCGTGGCGCAGCGGCGAGCACCGCGGGCGAGGAGCCCGGGAGCGGGAGCTTGCGCGCGATTCTTCTCGGGCTGCAGCCGCGTCAAGCGGAAGACGGGCCGGAGCTTTGGGCTGCTTTGCAAGGGCCGGGGGTCCATGGGAGGTTCCCCAGCCGGGGGCGCAGCGCATCTGTCGGACTTCTTGCCATTCTGGATGCACAAGCCCCTTGCCGCCTGCTGTCCCTTCCGAATGGCGGAATGGCCATGAGGCGCTGCGCCAGGGACAGGGGCACGCGAGGACCTCCGTCTGAGGGGACGATCCTCGGGGGGCAGGGAGGGGGCTGCCCCTGCCTGAGGTTCGCGGGCCTCGCCGGCCCCGCTGCTCGGTTTCCCAAGTTAGTGTTCCTGCTGCATTTCTGGCCACGTACCGAAAATCCTCCTTGGAAGAAAATGGTAAGGGCCGTTCAGTGCGGGGAGGGAGACCTCCCCCCGCGCTGCGTCTCTCGCCCTTGCTGGAGGGGCCCGGCAGAGGCTGGGCGGACCTTCCGCTGCAGCCTCCTCGCTCCGGGTTCTCTGCTCTGAACCTCCGCCTGGACTGCGTGACCTACCCGAGCCCCTCCCGCGGTTTCAGACAGATTTAAACGTGTCTACCGAATGGCCCAGATGGTGCCTGGAGTCACTGCATTAGTGTGACATTGATATTCCAGCTTCGTCCTCCTGCAAGGCACCAGGCATGAACCGCTTTCTCCTTCTTTTGAGTCGCACAACAACCCTTTGAGGTAGTTCAGCCTGAGAGTCGGCGACTGGCCAAGTCATCCGCTGAGTTCTTGGCTGAGTTGGGATCAGAACGTGGGTCTCCCGCCCCTCAGTCCCGCGCCCTAACCACTAGCCCAGGCGGCTCTCGCTGCACCACGGGAGCAACAGGATCACGACCTCACGTGTGACCCACGAGGAGGGCCGTCCGCGGCTCAAGGGCAGGCATGGTCAGTTCCGCCAGAGGGCAGCCGCCTCCCTGCCAAAATGCTGCACCCCCTGAGACCACCAGGGGGCGCCATCCTCCCCACCAATTTTTCACCAATATAGCAGCACCAAAAACCCAGCCATTTCCCCTTAAAACCTGCCCTGTAGGAAAACAGATGCGTGCTCCCGGGAGCTTTCTGGGAAGACAGCTCTTTTTGCCAACGAGAGGCGGGGCGGCACTTCTCGTTTTAAAGAAAAACCGCTGCGGGTTGTTTGTTTTGCCACGGCTGCGTCAAAGTCGGCGGCACTCGGCCGCAAAGTGGCCAAGGGCCCACCAGCCACAGATTGCGCATCCTGCACATCGATGTGTTTAGCACGTGTCTCTGCCGTCTGATTAGTATTGTGGGTCCTGCTTCTAGGGGTCCTGTGGCCTTTGCGCTGCCAGGTGTATGACGGAAGCAGTGTTTCCTGACTAGCTACGCACATGCCTGAGCAACGGGCCTGCTCTGGCAACTCTCTGAAAAAGCACTCTGGAGGCCCCAAGAACTGGGGCTGGCCGCTCAGAAAGCAGGACTCCCTGACTTTTGCTGTCATGTCGTGGCTTCCTGTGCTATTCCTTCCAGTGGGACGCCGCTGACTTAGGACAGGAATAACTCAACAACCAACCTCACCCTTGCAGAGCGCCCTGCCAACCTGTAAGTGACCGTTTTCTGGCCCTTGGTTTGGATCCTGCTAGATCCTGTGGTGTGTTGAGTTGCTCCATGAAACGGGGCTCTGTCTGGTGGGTGATGTAGGGGAGCGTGCCCAGCAAGGTCGGCTCCCTGATTGTTTGGGCTGAGGTGGGCATGTGACCAAGACAAAGTGGCTAGAGACCAAAGGTGATGAGTCGTTATCAGTGCCCCACCTGAGTGCAGGGGCACATGCGCCAGCTAAGAATCGGTGTGCACCTTGGTGGAAAGATGCTCTTTCCTTGGTTGCTCATTTCAGCTAAACAACTGACAAGAAATCTGAGCAGAATGATAAGGGATCACAGCTGAATCCCCAGTAAATCTACTTAAGTGTTGGGGAACCTGAGTCCATGAAGAGCACCTGCTTGCCTGTCTGGCCCAGGTGAATTCCATTTTGAAGAGCCCCTGGGGGCTGCCTCTCTGTGTGGGTGGGGCTAAGAACAAGGGGGCGGGATGAAAGGCCAAACGGGCAGGGCCACAAGGGATAAGAAAGCTCTTACTTTCACAGAATAAGCTTTAGAAGAGGCTCGGCTACTTTTTTTGAAAGGGAGGAAAATCTACAAAAGGTGGGACATTTTCAAATGATTGCAGGGCAGATGAAAGAAGGGCTGCCATCTTGGGAATCCCAGAAGGCCAGATGGGGATCCCTGGGGAACATGATGGAGGCCACGATTCTGTGTGTGTTCAGGTAGCAGATCCCCGGAATGCCCTCTGTGTGTCAGCCGCTGCTGCGACTGGGGACCCGTGTGGGGCTGTGCCGTTAGCTACTCCCACCCCACCTTTCTGTGAAAAAAGATGGTGCTCAGGGCAATTATTATTATTATTATTATTATTATTATTATTATTATTATAACATTTCTATGCTGCCCCTTGCCGAAGCCTTGGGGCGGCTTACAACACAATAAAATACATTGAAATACAATAGCACATAATAAATTACCATTAAATACAAAAATACAAAAAATACATTGAGTTACAAACATAATAATATAAAATTAAAATTATCAGTATAAAATAAGTAAATAAATAATATAGGAGGAGAAAAGAGAAGGAAGAAGAAGTTGCCCTGGCCAGATCATATATTTTAACAATTAAAATGATGTTTAAATAAAAAGGTCTTTACCTGGCACCGAAAAACCAGTAACGACGGTGCCAGGCGGACCTCTTTGGGGAGTGAATTCCATAGGTTGGGCGCCACCGCAGAGAAAGCCCTCCTCAAAGGGAAGTGGCAAAGGCTTAATTAAAGGATGGCATCCAAGCAAGCCAGGTGCAGCATTCGAAGAAACGATTCTCTCCCTTGAGCGACAGATCTGCATCCTGGCCTCGGGGTTCCACACCCCTGGTCCAGACGGCCAGGGGCCTCCTCTGGAGACTGGCTGCTTCCAGGGCCCCGTCGGAACGGCTCCCGCTCCCGCTGCGGTTCCACAGGGCACAGCCGCGTGTCCAGCTGTAAAGGACGGCGGGGGCCGCCAGGAAGAGTTGTGGGAGCCCTTGCAGAGCTGCCTTTGCAAGCACCGCTTCCATCCATTTGCACAGGAGCCGGTTCAAGCTCAGCGGCTACAAGATGGTTGATCGTGAAAGGAGGAGCAGAAGCCGAACTGCCGAGTCGAGACGGATAGCCTCATCCAGCCGCTCTCAGGCTGATGGGCCGATTAATGGCAAGAGCATTCATGTGCGTTTCAGGCGCCACACAGCAATTAGCCGGGATGAATAATTGAACACCTTTCACAGGGGCATTTCTGACTATCAAGGCTGCGGGGGCTCCTGAGCGGATCCGGACAAGGCGAGGGCCGTCTCTGAATGGGCACACAGCACATGCTGCACAGGGATTAAGACCGGGAAGGACATGGGCTGCTGGCACAATTCTGGCCTTCAGTCGCACTTCCACAAGCATACGGCCGAAACGATGCAGCAACACATTCCATGCCCTCGGCTCCCGTTGACCAGCTGGATGAGCGCTCCCTGAGGGATCAATGAGGGATCGTTTACTGATGAGGGCAGTATTTCCCACTAAGCCGCTCCCTTGGAGACCTTTAATGTAATGGCAAAAACAATATTTGAAACACACGGAGAGACGGATCTATTAATCCGGTTTTATTGCACAACTGATGCAAAGAGAGGAAAGGCTTGGCATCACACTAAAGGATGGGATGAAAATTGTGGGAGGAGAACGGAGCAGAGATCCTTCTGGAATGCAGGCAGGTGGGACAGAGGGCTTCCTGGCACTGGGGGTGGATAATTGGGTATTCCCAGCCATATCCTAGAAAGGCAAGCCTGAACACGAAGCCCCAGCACAGTGGTGGCGAACCTATGGCACATGTGCCACAGCGGGCACGCAGAGCCCCCTCTGTCGGCACGCGAGCCAAGTCGCCCCAGCATCGCCCCAGCAGCCGAGCATCAGAAAACAGCGCACAGAGGGGCCGTGCGCACGCTCGGAAAGGAGTGGTGGAGCCAGGCAATGACGTCACGTGCCGCGACTCATTTGGTGCGACTCATTCGAGCTTTCGCATGGCCAGTCAGTGCATTGCCAAGTACACACATACATATAAATTTGCTTGGACTGGCTGCGAGTTGTTTCTTCTGAACTAAAAACCTCAGTTTTCAGGTTTTATTGCAGTGTTGCCACTTTGCGATACATAAGTGTGTTTTGGGTTGCAGTTTGGGCACTCGGTCTCTAAAAGGTTCACCATCACTGGGTTAGGGTTACAAAAAGGAGGTGTCCTGGCATGGTGTGGATGGTTGGAATGTGTTTAGAATGGGCAGAAATGATGAGCTGTGCAGAAAAAGCTACTCGAGGAAGGCTTTTTCAATATCACATTATTTTCAATGGAACTGTACCCGAATATTAGGGTTAGGAGTGTGCTCCAAGGTAGGGTTAGGGTTAGAAAAATGAGGTGCCCTGGCATGATTTTGATGGTTGGCATGATTCTGATGGTTGGAATGTGCTTAGAATGAGCAGAAATGATGAGCTGTGCAGAAAAAACTACTCAAGGAGGGCTTTTTCAAAATCACCCTCTTTTCAAAGTAACTTTTGCCCTATATTAGGGTCAGGGGTGTTCAGTTGACTGAGCAAATGCTGCCAGTTGACTGGATCAGCCAAGGGCTGCTTGCCCAGAGTCAAACATTATCCAATGTTCAAGGTCCTCGCATTGGGTCAAAGGGTAACAGGATAGTGTTTGTGTCATAACCACTGTATTGGCCTTATAGCCCACCTTGTTTTGAATTGCTTGTCTGTTCGGGCTGCTTGGAATGCCCCAGAAAAATGGCATGTGTGTGAAGCTGCACACCTGCGCATGTTTAGATAGGAAAAATATTCCCCAAATTCCCAGCATTTCCCAGCCAGCCAGGGAGAAGGCTTGTTTCTTAGGCTTGCTGGCTACCTTGCTCAATGGACGAAGGCCTCCGGATGTTCCCTACAGCGAGGTTTGCCCTCTGGAGCAAGCTGCAAAGAAATGGAGCAGCACCTGCTAGCAGGCCTTCTTCAAATAATGAAAACTTGCTCGGTTCTCTTTCACATCTTTGCTTTTATTTTTCCAGGAAGTGCAATTGTTATGGCTGTCCCTGGGATAAAGGCCATGAAGAACTGGCTTTTTTCTGCGTATGTGGCATGTATACCGCTTTATGTAATCCATTTCAGCCTTTGTATTACATACAAAACACAGGGAATCATGTCAGTCCACACAGAAATGCAGAAAGCTGCAGCTGGATCAAGAAACTTGCAAGTTCTTTAAGATTCTTTAAGATTCTTCAACAAGTGCAAAGCAGGAGCAGAAAAATATTGGTTTTGTTCACATTCGTAAGGCAGAATGTCAGAAGAGATAGCGGGCCTCCAGTCTTTCAGAGTCCTACATGGAGCTGAGTGAATGCTGGAATTTAATATTTCCAAACGCAGGAGAATCAGCCAATGCATAGTCCTTTCTCCCAGCATTCCTAGATGCAGTCTGAATATGCAGCTAGCAGAACAGGGGCAGACAACTTCCAACCCTCCAGAGGTTTTGGCTTACAACTTCCATAATTATTCCCAATGACTTGGCTGGTTAGTACCAATGGGAGCTTCAGACCCATCTAAATGGGAGCTGCAGGAAGGCCATGAGGTGCCCACCTCTTAAAGCTGAAATGCCAGGAAAACCAGAATGTCAGAGAAATTTGCAATGGATTCCAATTTTAGGATTCTATAGATTGAGCCCACAGGTTTTCTGTGGATTGCTTTTTCTGAGTTACACAGATTTTGCAAACTTTCAAACTGGTTTTTTGCCTTCTAAGATGGTTATTGTACAAAGTACAAACAGCTTTTAAAACTGACAAACGTGTATTTTCCACCACAGGCTGAAGCATGAAAATGTAGATTTGGGGGGAATTTGAGCATTTGTGCAGATGTACACTTCTTTATCTTTCAGAGAAGTATTTTGCTCTTAGAAATGCAAGAAAACAATGCTATAACAAACAAAAGCATCAAGACTCCTTACCATTTTACATTAAGTTTCACAGGTTCTAAACCTATCTTAGCATCATCCCTGAAACTGCTCTTTTTGTATATGTTAGAGCCAGAAACAAAGCATGTTCCATTATCAGCTTTTCTAGTTATTACAAAAAGAATAAATTTCAGCTATGAACACGGGACGGAACACCTGACGATCAGAGGGATGTGAGAGGAACAGATTTAAGAAAATCTATATATTCCCAACTGAAGGCACAGCTGCACACACAGCTGGGAGCAGGGCCCCGCTGAACACTGGGGCGTATTTTTGGGTACAAATGCAGGCCTGCAGTGAAGTCTGCAATTCCTCTTACCTCCTTTTAAGGCTGTGAACGAACACAGAGTCTGTCGCTTTAATGCCAAGGCAATTTTTACTCATCCTCCCACTTGTATGACATTTTTGATATTTTATATGCCAGACATGTTGGTGGATTTTGGAATTTCTCTTGATTTTACAGTTCTCATAAACTGGGTGTTTGATAGGGCTGCCCATTGTTGACGGGATGTGACCAATCTTTAACTGCACAATTAGGTTATGGGTTATATTTTTATGGGCCATATAAGGCGGTTATTAAACTAGCGCCTCGCTTGCAGGAAGCCCAACTAAGGGAGCTGCTCTCAGCCCACACTGGCACATCACCCAGGAGGCAAACCCAGACCTGGCGCTCACAGGAGCTTTGCGGGAGATGCGGCGTGTGCACACACAGCGGGGAAATGTCGTCGCTTAGACCTGCTAACCACGGTCATGCGCTCACTCATTTTCCGTTTCCATTTATTTGGGTGGAACAAACCTCCAGTGACGCAGGCACCTGACGCTCTCTCCAGCCGGGCTCCGCTGGGGGAATTCCAGAAGGCCTTTGGGCACCTGACACAAGAGCCGAAACCCAGCCCTGCTTGGGGCATGGCAGCTGCTCTCGCCATGAGTTTCTTGGAAAGGAGAAGCTGGCAGGAAGTGCCCTGCGGCTGACACAGGTGCACAGCAGGGTGAGCTTAGTGGCACGGCGGCGGAGTCTTCCCCTGCTTGTTGGAGCCACGCATCTGTTACGAGCCTTCCTTGAGCAGAGCGAGTGGGGTTGCCAAGTCACTCTGAAGGGCCAGTAAATACTGGGTGGGGCGGGGGGGTGGCGTCTCTGTTTGCTTCCTGCGAGATGGAGAGACCCCAGGTAGCCCTTTTCAAAGCGGGTGCTCTCCCGGGGCTCCTGGATCAGTCCCGTGGGAAGTCAGTGGAGCACATGGGCTTGTTTCTCTTCTCCGGTCTGGATCTTGCCCTGGCGGCTTCCTGCGATTTCACCTGCTCCAGGGGTGCAGCAGAGAGCGGGGCAGGCCGTGAGGAGAGAGGCGGCTCGGCTCCAGCGGCGACTTGGGCCTGGGGCCCCTCCTCCCGTGGCAAGGAAAATGGACGGGGGTGCTAGCGATAACCTGCTCGGCCCGTGATGGTGCAGCTGCCACGCTCACGCCTAACGCGCCTGAAGAGTTGGCGCAGCAGAGAATTGCGGCAGGAGCCGCTCGTTCACCGCGCGCGACCCTCCGCGATTCGGCCTGTGTGCAGCTGTCCAAGCGGGTGCACAGGCCGGGCCTTGGGGCCCACCTGCCAATGGCTATTTTGCTCCACGTCCTCCTGCCATTTCGACACCTGCGCACAAACGCGGCCTGAGGGACCATCTGGTGGAGCCCCTTGCCTTGTGAGCACCACCACCCTCGAGCTTTTCCTTTCGGCGTGTCTTTCGTCTGCGAATCCTGAAGGATTCCTGCCTGGGAATTCACCTTGGGCAAGTCTCAGACCAGCGGAGGTCGTCTCGTTCCAGACCTGGCACTGCAGCTGGGTGTGATTTGCTACCAATGAGGCTTTGGGGTCAGAAACTCTCCGGTGACTATTTGGGATTCCTCCCAGTTGACCGTCTGGGAGGCCGACTCCTTTGGCACTGAGCTGTGTCTCTGCAGGTGAAAGGAAGGAAGGCGGGCGAGTCCGGCAGTCCGACGTGGCCACCAGGGGCCATGCCCTGTCCTTCCCCCTTGCGGCACCAGTGGATAGCTCATCCCTTGCCGGATTTCGGCCCGCAGGGCTCACTTCAGGCAGCCGGGGAGGCAGGAGAAGGTCTGCTTCACACGCAGCAGGAACGGACCGGTGTGCTTCGTGCTCCGGCTCCGCGGCACCCGCGTCTGCAGCACCCCAGCAGCCCTGGAGGGGTCGCCCCTTTTGCCCGGCGGCAGCAGAGCCCGGAGGTCCTTGTCGTCATTAAAAGGGCCTTTGCCGTACTTGCGCTCGAGTTGCCGGTGGATCTGTTGGGGAAAAAGACACAGCGGTCGACATGCCTGCGAAATCCTGCCTGTAGCCTCAAAGCCGTGCAAAGAGGGCTGCTTTTCTTCTTCTGCACACAACACGCACATCCCTAGACTAAGTGCTGGGTGGGCAAATTCTGTGGGTTCAGGTGCAAGTCTGGCAGGTGGAGAAGCTGTGCCGGGCTTCCCGCAACGCAGGTGCTGTGGGAGGCAGGACCCGTCGCAGGAACACGCAACCTGTCCGACAGGTGGGCGACTCTTCATTGCAGGCTCTCACTGAGCCTCAGAGTGCTTCAGGACGCCTCTGAACCCACAGCTGTTGGCGCCCACGGGAGCCTCCTCATCGCCTCTGCACTCTGGATCACTGCCCAGACCCTCTTTCTCACCCGGCGCTCATCGCCTGTGGTCACGTTCTCGCTCCGGCCCTCTGCGTCACACACAGCGTGGGCCCCCCATTGTAATGTCTGAAGTACAGGAGTGCATGGGGACGCTCACGGCCACCTCACCGGGGAGGATCGCGACGCGTGAGGCCCCTCTCGACCCACGTCGGCAAGCCCCTTCTGCCACCCTCAGCTCGTGCGGGAAGCCTCGGCCCCCCACTCAAAGCCAAGCCGCCCCAAAGATGATGTTGCGTTGCAACAGGCGTGCTCTTCTGGTTGCTGGGAAAAAGCATTTGCCCCCAGCTAGGCTGAGGATAAGCTCAGCGGGAACACGGAAACTGAGGGAGGGGCGTCAGAGAAAGTCCCTGCTAGCCAAATCACAAGAAGTAGTGGTTCCTCTATACTCCTCACTAGTCAGACCTCACCTGGTGTGCGGTGTCCAGTTCCGGGCACCAAGGTTTAAGAAAGATGCAGGGAAATGAGAAAGAGTCCAGCGGAGGGTGACAAAAATGATCCAGGGCTTGGAAGCACTGCCCTGAGAGGAGAGACTGAGGGAACTGGGCATGTTCAGCCCTGAGAAGAGAAGACTGAGGGGGGACATGGTGTCCCTCTAGAAGTCCCTCCAAGGCTGCCACAAAGAGGAAGGCCAGGATCCCTTCTCGCTGATGCCGGAGTGCAGGACACGGAATAATCAAGTCACGCTGTGACAGCCAGGAGTCAGGCTAGACATCAGGAAAAGTTTCCCCATTGCTAGGCAATATGACAGTGAAACCAGCTGTCTGAAGAGGTCTGGGCTCTCCCACATGAGAGACATTCAGAAAGAAACTGGGCAGCCCTCTGAGTGGGATGGGGCGACGTGGGACCTGCAACAGCAGGGGCTGGGCCTGCCAGCTCTATGATTCTATGGAAAGGCCCTGGCACGTGGGCCCTGTGATCTCGGGTTCCCCCACAAGAAAGGGGCCAGGAGGGCCACTGGGACGTGCCCTTGGCACCTCGTCGCTTCAAGGACGGCTGGTGCAGGCAGCGGGGGTGTGGGGCGCAGGGAGCCAGCTGTGCTTGGCTTCGTGGGCCGTTACTCTCCCCGCCGGCCGAGGCCAACTGGGGACAGGAGCCGAGGCAGCTGCTGCAGCTCCCAGTCCCGCCCGTCCCGCCCGTCCCGCGTTTCTCTGCGATCCGTACAGAGCGCTCGGCAGCGGGAGAGCAGGGGGGGGGGGGCGTAGTAAACACGGCGGCTGCCCCGGCTGTTCCGACCCCACATTAAACGCTCTGTTTCCCTCTCCCGTGGCACCAGGGGGACGTGACTGCATTGTGCAACGAGGCATGGCTTCATCGTGCGCGCAGGGGGGAGCGGGGGGAGCACGTCCCTGCGCAGCATCATGGGCATTCCTCACCGCCTCTGTCTTTCTGCTCCTTCTCTATTTACTCTCCAGTGAAGGGCAGAGAAAGCACACGTGGAATCTTTGTCTCAGATGCGCTCCTCTTGGCAGTTCTTCTCCCGTTGTGTCCTCAGAGCGGTTCCAGATCCTGGCCTGCCTTGCTCTGGGGAACTACCAGTGGGAATAGCTTGTTCCCGAGCTTCTGCTGGCTACCAGATACTCTCGGAAGGTGCAGGCGCTTAGCACAGGGAGCTGCCCACCTCTTGCACCTCGCAGGCTGTTCTGTGGAGTCGTCAGTGGATCCTGAACAGGAGGGGAGCAGCCTTGGGCGCTCTTTCCACCATGCGAGGGAAGATGCTCAGGCTGACTGTGAAAGCCAGTCTGTTTTGGCAGGGGAGGGCTTCTGTCTCCCTCCCCCTACACCAAATTCAGTATTTGGCCAAAGAGAAACAAGGAACATCAAAGAAATCCACAACAATTCAAATAAGTCTGGTTTCCTAGAAATCCAACCTGCATAATCCACAGTGGACTGGCTATTTCTAAGTCGCGCGATGGCATGTTTTTCCACTTCTGGGGTGGCCAGGCAGGGGAGCCTTTGCACTAATTTGCGTTTGTGCTAAAGCACACTTGTTCGAATGCACTAATCCACACTAGTTAATGCAAAGCACCACTAATCCTCATACCCCGATCAGCACCGATACGAGTTAGCAAAATTCTGCTTTTGCAAATCTGAGAGACGCCTGACCACCTGCAGAACGCAGGGGGAGGGGATTCCGCAAACCCGACATCCCGGGACACGTGGCCCCCCCCTCCGGGCTCTCACCTTCTCTGCTGACCGGCTGCATGCATATTCCTCCAGCTGCCGGCGGAAACCGAGGTTGGGATTGGCAACTGGCCGCACCGCCTTGACGGCCTCCAGCGCCTCGTGCCAGCTCAGCTGCGTGACCGCCATGGCGTACGCGAGGACGATGGTGGTGCTGCGAGAGATCCCGGCCAGGCTGCAGGCGGAAGGGAAGCGGTCAGAGCGCCCCGCCGGCTCCCCCCCCCCCCCGCCGCAAGACCCCTCACTCGCCCACACTCCTGTCCGTGCAGAGAAACAGCACAGGTGCTTCTGCCAGGGGGCTTACAGGGAGGGAGCGCCTCTCCATTTGGAAAGGAAAACTCAAGGCAGCCTGGAAGGTGCTGGGGGTGAGCCCCCAAACTCTGGGATTCTCCCTGCCAGGCTGAAACCAAGGGGCCGGGCCCCCGGGGGTCTCTGCTGCCTTTGGTCAGCCTCATTAGCTGGTTCCCTGGCCTTGTGCAGCTCGCCTCCTGCCGTATCGTTTCATGCACCCGCACAACCCCCAGTCCGCTCGGCTCCTCTGGGCCCTCAATGCCGTGTGCCTGAGCCGTTCTCCCTCTGGCTGGCGCTGCGCTCGCGCACTCACGGCCCTTGTGAATGACCCAACACTGCATGCAGGAGCAGAGGGGCCGCGCTGCACGAGCAGCCCAGGCGCAATCCAGGCGGGACTGGAGAAACCATCCTGAGGCCCTGGAGCCTGCCGGCCAGTGGTGGGAATACTGGGCTGGATGGGCTGAGGGTCTGACTCGGTGCGCAGCATCTCCTGGTGCTTCGCAAGCAGCCCGCTTGGTGTGGAGGAGGTCCCAGGCGCGACTCCTGACATCACCTCGCTGGGCTGCAGAACCTTTTCCGTTTGAAATTGCGGGATGCGACTCTGCGCCTGGGGCTGGACAACCTGAGAACTGGCACTCGGGGGCTGCCTAGGGGTTGCGTGTGGGCTGTTGTGGAACTGCAGCTTTTTGTTGTTGAAATCGGGTCTTTATTGTGGTTGCTTAACCACACATAACCCAAAAAGAGGATGTATGGCTTGCTGTTCGGTTCTGAACTCTAGGTTCTTCATGGTTAAGCAACCCAGGTTTGCTATGGAGGCTGGGTTCAGACAACCCAGTGACAACCCACACTCAACCCATCCTCAGCCCTTGAGTGTGGGTTATTGTGCTGTCTGGACCCAGTGGATGCCCGCAGGGCCACGTAGGCTCCCCGATCTCTCCAGCTCCCCTTACCAGTGAACGAGGCAGTTCCCTCCACGCATGCGGCAGGCATGGATAAAATGAATGCATTCCTTAAAGTGCTTCTTGCTGGCAGGGTGTGGGGTTGGAGACAAAGCAAAGCGAAAGAGTCAGGAACGTCAGCACAGGCTCTGCCAGCTTCACTAAGTCAGAAAAGTGCCTTCCCTAAATCTTTTAAAAATTTCATTCGACATTGAAATAGACGACTTTCGCATGTGATCTGTTCCTGTGCAGTTGTACAGTTTTACTTACTCTGGATGCTCCAGATGAGGTGCTTAGGAGGCAAACCTGTGCATGCTGGGAGTTGTACGCCCTTTTTTCTGTCTTGCGCAGGCTTTAAGAAGTAGTGGGTCTACAATGAATTGGTTTTTATGGCATATTTGTTTTGGTTTGGCCGTAAGCCGCACTGAAAGCACAGATCCAGGACTCCTTATCAATGCATATTTGTAAAGCAGCTTAAGGCACAATCCAACGCATCTGGGAGAGGTGGAACTTTGTTCTGCCTGAACATGCACAGGGAGGATCGAAACCGGACTGGAAACGTTTCTAATGAGCATCTCACATTTATTGCATGATTCTGGCTTATAAGCGGTGGGGGGAAAGCACTCTGCATGTGCTTTTGCGAAAATAAAAAATTAAAATGTAATTGCTATTAAAAAAAACTTGCCCAACTCTATTTCTGCAGAGTGAACCTAAAGCATTCCATTAGATTCGCCATTTCAGATTTCAATCCATTTCATCACGTGTCCAGTAAGAGTTGTAACGGCTGACAAGACTCCTTTAATTGTGGACAGCGTGTGCTTTCACGGAGACTCTAAAATTTGCAGGGCAGACTTAATGGAAAGCAACTGCTTTGATCTCTCTTACTTTGGCTGCATTCTCATCATGGAAATCCCTTTGATTTCCTTTTAATTTTTTTTTTGAAGGCGTATTTGTAGAACTCAGTCATACCTGCATGTTGCACTATAAGCACTCTGTCATTGTGTCATTTCAAATGTCAATATATTTCAGCATTTATCTCAGTTGAAACGCTTTTGCTTTCCCCCTAGAAACTGTGTGATGTGAAGGGAAATTCTTTGTGGTTAGGTGCACAGCTATATAATTAGAAAAGTGCCCTCATCAAAGGAGTACAGAAGGCAGGATCATTTGCAGGGAGGAGAGCAACCGATTGGTCAGCTGCAATTTTGCACCTCCAGAAGTTGGTGGTTCGTTTAAAGAGGGTGCAGACGCTGGAGGAGTGAACTGCTGGTGGAAGGAAGAGGTGGGTGGTGTAGGCGGAAGAGGGGAAAAGCAGCTGTTTCAGCATCCTGCCTTGTTCCACTTTCATGGGAGGCTTTAGGATATGACACAAAAAGAACACACAACCAGGATGGCTTCTTCCGTGGGGTGGGCCTATTATACGCCCAGGTTTCTTTAAAAATCAAAAACTAAAACCTGCGCCTAAAAGAGGCTTTTGCCTGGAAACCACCCTGGATTTGTGGGTTTTTTAAAATTGTGGATCATTGTGTGAGGTGCCTGGGGCCTTTTAAATGGAAAGGTAGGATATCAATGTAACAGCAAACACTTTGGCATCGGCTCTTGCAACAAACACGTCTTTGCAAAATGAATTGAAAGTCCACAGGCTTTCATGAGACAAAACACAGTTTGAACATTTCCTTCTAGATTTTGAATGTGGGTTTCAGAGACATTCAATGAAAACAGAATCAAATTCCCCTGACCTGGTTTTCACTGAGACACGAACAAAGACCAAAGTTGCAAAACGAGAGTAAAATGAAGCTGTCAGTTGCTGCAGGCAACTGGCTCATTTAAGTCACCTACTTCACAGGGATGTGAAATGCAGCCTGTTGTGTTGCAGACATTCCAAAAAGCACCTGTTCTGATTTGGCTTGTGAGTGTGTGTATGTAAGAGGAATGGGGATAGATGGGAAATAACCAGAAAAACATGGCAGAGAGAGGCAGACCTGTGCCATAAACTTGTACATAACCTTGCTGTCTTTCTTTCACGCGCAACGCCAAGGCAGGAGTTTTCCCACTCACCGCGTCTCTGTACTTGTGTAAGCGTCACTCCTTACACTGGTGCCTGGTGCTTCGGCACAAGACCCTCTCTAAAATTGCACGCTCCATTCTAAAAGTATCTTGAATGGAAAATCTGCTTTAAAATTTGATGTCAAACCAACATCATAGAGCTGGTGGTATTCATGTACGTATTTCCTGCCAATTTCCAGAACCCACAAGGTAGACAGAGAATCCCCATCTGGGTGCAGCTGGCAGCACAGCGTTACCACCCTTGAAATGCTGTGCACCCACCAGAAATCAAATTGATGCAGCGTTCCCCAGTGCATAGATGCTGTGATGAGGGAAAGCAGCCATACTGGTTTCATGGAGCACTGCAAGACTTTGCTGTGGAAATAATTATTTCATCCAGAAAGGGAGGAGAAGGCGGAGAATAGCTGCAAATGTCCTGGGAGTGGCTGACTTTTGAACTGGTGAGCAGCTTGATCTGTGGACAGTCGCAGGAAAGCTTCTGACTTCCTGCTGCCAGAAGAGCATCACCTGCCGGTGTCTTTATCGAGGCCTAGCCAGGTAGGAATGCCCTTCTTTGCCCCCACACTCAGCTGCACCCTCTGTCCCCAAATACTTCAGCCTTTCCTAACATCTCGTAATCACATGTCGTCAAGATTTCAGTGGGAGGAATCAAGGAGGGTTAGGGGAATGCTGGCATGCCCAGCTTCTCCCAAACCTCCTGAGATTTGGGTGGGAGAGGATAGAAAGGGGGGTGCCTCTCATGTTCCCCCTTTCCAGCCTTTTCCAAAACTCTCACAGCCCTGGATACTTCTAGGACTTCAGAGGAGCTTGGAGAAGGTGGAAAGAGGAGCTGCAGCCGGATTGTCTCACTTTTAGCACTGTTCCTCCTTGAGAATCAAAAGGGACGTGTTCACGGGAGAGCAATATCCGGGCTAGTCCACTGCAACGCTCTGTGCATGGAGCCGCCTTGCTTCGCCCCTTCGGCTGAGAACAGTGCAGCCACCCAGGTGTTGGTGGGGATGAGAAGAACAGCTCACACAACGCCCGTGTCGCATCTGCTGCGCTGCTGACCGGCATGCGTCCAAGCCCAGTTTAACGTGCCGGGTCTGAGCTTTCAAACCTTAAATAGTTTGGGAGCAAATCATCCGAAGGACCACCGGCACCCACATCTGCCTGCCCACCCTTCAGATTCAGCGAAAGAGGCCCTTCTCATCTGCCCACCTGAAACGGCAGGAAGGCAGATGCCCTTTCGCACGGCCATGTTTGTGGCAGCCCCACAGTCAGCCGCCTGGGTCAACAAGGCCCATCACTGCAGGCCTTTACGAAGGTCCTGAAGACTTAGCTACGTTGCTCTGGTCTCCCCATGAGGACGCTTCATCAGACTGCACTGTCGTTGCCGTTGTCGACTGTAAGCTTGTGTCCGTAGGATTGTTTATTGTTTGCTATTTTTACAGGCCTTTAAAACTGCACTGCCTTTTTATTATGGGAATGTTATTGTTGTATATTACCTTGGGAGAGTTTGTGTGCTGACAGGTAGCAATAAATATTATGATTCAATCAAACAAACAAGGCCACTTATTACTGCCACTCTGCCTTTCTTCAGAGAACATCCGAAGTGGCTTATAGAAAAGCGATGCACCCGAAAGATGCAAGGCAAGAGGCAAGCGCGAGGGATCGCACTGGTCGGAAGCATTAGCAAATCCTCATCAAGTCCGAGGATTCAGCCACAGGATTACCCTGCAAAACAGAATTTTGGCTAAAAGCGGTTCAGACCCTAAAGGCAGCAGGCGAAACTTCTGGCACGTGCCTGAAGCCATGAAGGGTGGGGATTCCAGAGCATCTTTGCTGCCCCAGAGCAGCCCCGTCTTCTGCACCTCTTCGCCTAACATCCCAAGAGCAGGACCTGCAAAGCTGCCCTTGAATCCGGGGCTGGTTTGCACGTCAGCACACAAAGCTCCCCCAGCGTCGGAGGCCCAAAAGGCGAACATGAGCCCTCTAAACTGAACGCAGGAGCCTAAAGGTCATCTGCCAGGGCAGTGGGCGCAGGACGGGGCTTCTGTGCTCTGGGCACCGCCAGGTAACAGCTGGCAGGCCGTTTTCGACCAGTTGCTGCTTCCAAGCCATTTTAAAGGCAGCCTTAGCTAAGGGCCAGCTGCTGTGCGCCACGTCTGCCTAGGAGAGGCTGCGGGTGGCAGACCAGCCGGGGCCCAAACTCGCCTGAAGCACCTGCCCGGGGCACATCCTCTCCTGGGTGACCCCATCCCTGAATGGGCCTCAGCTTGCCCACTGGTTGCGTGTTCATGGCGTCTGGACCCCCGCCCCTTATTTCCTGCTGGTTACTTACATGTTTGCCTCTGGCATGTCAGGGAGAGCAATGCGGAGGTACGTGATCCCCTGCGGAAGCAAACGGACGGTTGAGAGGGGGCTCCCGGCTCCAGGTGTCCCCCAAAGCGGGGCCCGTGCTGCCGAAACCTCGGGCACGGTGGGTGCCTCCAGGCGCTGTCCAGGGCCCGTAGGTCCCATCCAGCCACAGTCAGGGATAATGGGGATTGTGGTTAAAAACCTTTGGAAGGCACCAGGAGTCCTGCTGCTGGTCTAGGCGCTTAACTTTGACCAGTTTTGGATTTAGGATGCAATCCGGAGTATGTTTAGACAGAAAACAGCCCTATCGGCCTAGCATCCCCTGCTGGGCAGTGAGACAACTACCTCACCCACTTATCCTTGTTGAGTTCAGTGGTCGTAACAAGCTGCCCCCGCCGAGCGCAAAAGTGCTTAAAGAACCATATCGGTTGCTAAGCACCCCCTTTGCACCTGGATCCAGCAGGAGAAGGAAAGACCACTGTAGATCCAGTCATCCTACATGCTGCCCGCCTGTCCCACTACTGCAGGATTGTAAGGTCCTTGGGGCAGAGACCTGAACACTTGTACTCGGCAAAGGCCGGGCACATTGATGGAGCTTTGCAACGAACAGCCCTCTACCTCTCGCCTAACTGTGAAGTGCCAAATAGCTTCCATACAGCCTGAAGTGCCCAATCCTGCCGAACCTTGGAAGCTAAGCAGGGTCGGGCCTGGTTGAAATCTGGGTGGGGGGCTTACATGTTGTGAACCCCCCAGGGAGCTTTGGCGATGGGCTGCACAGAAAGGTAATGCAGTAATGATGGTGATAATCATCGTGATCATATAAGCCCTCGACAAAGTTGGCCCAGTGAGTTGCACTTGAAGATCAGGTTTTGAGTAGTCATGCGTGGAGCCTGCTGGAGCTGGGGGTCAGACTAGTTGGCCCAGGAGGCCCCTTCTGACCTGTCGCTGGCATCTCCTTGCGCGCCTGCTGCGCAAAGCTGGGAAAGTGGGCTTGCTCGTGAGCAACCTGCTCCCCCGGAGCACTGGCAGTAGTGCAGGGCAAAACTGCCGGGGTCTGAAACATTCTGCCCGTTCAACCCCCCATCTGGGAACTGGGAAGGCCAAGTGGCATGTGACTCCCACCTGTCCTGCCCACCTGAACTCTGCTGTGGCTGAGCTGTGGAAAGGGACGCCCCCCCACCCCCCACCCCTTTATGCTCAGCCGCCGCACTGTTCAGCTGAGTCTGGCATGGCTGGGTGGGGGGAAGGGACAGGCCGCCCCAGCTGGTCTCCCAGGCCCCCAGCTCCGCCTTCCTCACCCCACACTCCCACTGATGCTGGCGGGGCTGGGGGGAGCAACCCTTCTGCCCTGCCCCGGCACAAGTGCAGGGCGGGGAAGTGGTGGTAGCTGCCCAGGGCACCCCCCGCTCAGTGCTCCTGAGGGGTCCCTGGGGTCCTGACGGGACTGAGGGAGGAAGCTGGGGAGGGGGCCTCGGGACCCCACTGTGCCTGAATGTTCACTGGGCACAGCAGGCAGCTGCCTTGGAGGCACAGAAGGGGCCCACTTAGCTTGAAAAGAGGCGCCTACCGGGATAAGCGGCTGCGGCGATTCATGGATGGAGAGAATGTGGGTGATATTGTGCCGGCTCAGCTGATCCAGGTCCTTGGCATCTGGAAGGGAGCGAAGGAGGAACACAGCGTGATTGTTCCGGTCACCTTTGTTCATTGTCTGCAGACACGGGCTTGTGTTACCGGGCTGCTGACAAAGCGGCGCACGGAGAATCATGCGCGGAGCATGCGGAGGCATGCGCACCAAGCCCTGGCTTTGGTGAGCCATGCCAGTGAAGGACTTGGTGTCCGTTCGACTGGGTTCTCGTGTCCCGAGACAAAAAGGGGTGCGGCAGCCCTTGAATCAGCCCTGGCCGGCCCGACACCCTCCGGGTGAGTCAGACCGCGATTCCTTTCGGTGTGGGGGCATTCCGCCCACGGCCGTGCGCACCTGCCATTTGGGGAGCCCCGAGCACTAGCACCCTGCACTTGAGAGACGTGCAGAGACTCCCATTCCTCTGTTACAGCTCCCCTCCCCCGTGGGAGGGGCAAAATACTTCCCGGCTATTGTCTCTGCCCTTCTGTCTATCTATCTATCTATCTATCTATCTATCTATCTATTTATTTATTAAAACATTTTTATGTCGCCCCATTCGCCGAAGCCTCGGGGCGGCTTACAACAATAAATTAAAAAATAATTATAATATTAAATTAAAAAATATAAACATTAGATTAAAAATACAAAAATACAATATAAAATAAGCCACCCTGGCCAGATAAAATCCAATAATATTAACAGTTAAAATGCTGCTTAAATAAAAAGGTCTTGGCCTGGTGCCAAAAAACAAATAGCGACGGCGCCAGGTGGACCTCTCTGGGGAGCGCATTCCATAGATTGGGCGCCACCGCAGAGAAGGCCCTCCTCCGGGTACTCACCCTCCTAATTTCCTTCACGGAGGGCTCCCGGAGGAGGGCCTCTCACAGCACCTGTGAAGTTAGCCCTGGCTGCACAACAGAACCACTCCCTCAGTCCCACAACACATGTTCAAAGAGCCGCATAGAGAGGATGTCAGTGCTAATTTGCATTTCTGGACCAAGCAGCCTCAGAATGGACTCAGGCAGAAAGACTCTTTGTGTGGCATCTCGGTGGCTGTTGCTTTCAGTCAAGGAAGCCAAGAGAATGATTGCCTTTCAATACCTGTGCAAATCAGGAACACCTCTCAAATAACACCTCCGTTCTGACTGGCTGATGCTGATCAGTTCACGGGGTCTGTTATGCAAGAGGTGCTGTGGCACAGCTTCCGACGTTGCACGTGGCGCGGTGCGTAAGCCACGGTGAACCCCCCGGACTGCCTTTCTTGCCCCCAGCCGCACGGCCGGCCCTCTTGTGGGTCCCAGCCAAAGCAAGGTAGGACACCGGTCTGTATCACGGGGGGGGGAGGGGGGAGGAAAAAGCATCTGCCTACGGCTGCCCAAGGGGGTGACACCTGAACTCGGGGCTTGGTTCTTCTCGCTGCTGCGGCGGTCAGCTCAGCGCTGCAATGGGAAGTCTGGGACATTCGTTCTGGCTCCTTTTCTTGGCTTCCCCTTGTTTCTAGGTCAGGGGTACGGGACCTCTGCCTGGGGCGTTCGCACCCGGGCCTCAGGCCCTCTTGCCATTCTCCAAGGAGCCTGGCTGGGCTGGGTGGGCAACTCCACCGGCAGGGTTGGACCCCTCGGTTTGGCCTCCAGGCCGACCCAGAGAGAATCTGGCACTTCTGCATGGATGGTCACAGAATCCAGGCTACGCGCCTGCATGGCTCTCGCACACGGGGCCTTGGGCAGGAGATCTTCCCCGCTGGATCAATGAGGCACTCTCCCGTGGAGCAGCGCTCAAGACCTGCCGCCTGACTAGACTGCTTCCGAGTGGAAGGTTGCAGGATGGCGCTCGGGCAGACGTCTGAGAACTCTGCACCGTTCTTCCACGGACAATGCCAGTGGCTAGTGCTCCGGAGGGCCCCAGGTGGCTGAGTGCGGGCGCAGGCTGCCACTTCAGGCCGGGGGGCAAATTGTGGGTGACCAGGCAGTCCATGAAACACTGACCGACGTCCGTGAGCAGTCCAGCCACTCGGCCGTCTCCTCAAAGCCACCGCTGAGCCAGCAACTGGCAAACCTGCGGGCAGCCTGGGCGAGAGACGGCGGCTTCTGCCATGGGGCACCCCTTGTTTCACAGTTCCAGGCGTGCCAAGGGACACCCCAGTGCTGGTCGCTCTTTCCCCGGCTCCTGCGCTTTTCACATCTGCCTAGCAGGCAGGACGATCAAAGACAAAACCTCGCCTGCCAGAGGACAGCTGCCGTGGGCAAGCTGCACCTGGCGCATTTCTGCCTGTGAGGCACCTGTTTAAACGGGAGAAGCCCCGGGACGAGGCAAGGGCCAACCTTACAGCAGAGCCTAGAAGTAATGCAGGCCTCCTTCTTCACCTGCTTCTGTGGCTCACTCACCTATGAAGTTCCCAAGGAAGAGTCCGGGGAGGATCTGCAAGAGACACGGAGAGAGGTCGCTGTTTGCTGCAGCTCCCGGCCTGAGCAGCCGCTCTGGAGCGTGGGGCGGTCGGCCTCTCCTCCACTACGCAGCTCCGCCATGCCTGCCTTCTCCCTTTACCTCCATGCTGGGCTCCGTGGCCTGTTCTCCCCTTTCTCTCCCCCTGTGGCCACCCCTGTTAAACTTGCCGTCCTTGCTTTTAAACTCGTTTAAGTGTTGACCCCTTGGAAAAACAGAAGTACAGCTGGTCAATTTCCTGGCCACCGAATGCCCGTCAGGGAGGAAAGTCCTGCACATTCCCTGAACAGACCCAAGCTCGGTGGGGCTGGTGGATGGTTTTGTGCTTCTCTAAGGAGCTGGCCCTCAAGATCAGACAGGGCAGTCCAAGTGTTTCTGTGAGATCTCCAAGATTGTTTGGCCTTGGACTTGAATCACACAGAGCTGCACGGGCAAGAGTGGCAAGTTGCTATTTTTATAAGCATTATCTAAAAGATTTATTTGACTTTAACATCCAGGGTATACCCTGGGGACTTCTGTGATTCCAGGGTCAGAATGCACTTTGGGGGCTTCAGCTCACTGGGGTTGCACAATGGGCTTTTCGACATGAGGTTTTTCCCATGAGCTGGCCAGTCCCTGCTCATGGTTCTTTACAGGTTTTCCAGACAATGACGTAGTCCTCCAATTTTGCTTTGCACCTGAATGTACTTTTGGCTAGTTCTTTAGTACAGGGGGAAATGAGGCGTTAACGGGGTGACCTCGGGCCAGTCAGACTCTCAGCCCAACCTTCCTCACAAGGCTGTTGTTCTGGGGATAAGCAGCAGGAGAATGATGTAAGCCGTGTTGAGTTCTTAAAAGAAAAAGGCAAGATATGAAGCAAATAAATAAATACTAAAATGAAGGAAGGCACTTTTTCCACTAGTATATTTGTATTATTCCCCTATGCCACAGTGCCACCTAGAGGTTGTGTAGCGCAAAAGCAGGAAAGGAAATGGGATCACAGTTCCTAGATGAAACTGAAGGTCGGTATCATGAAATTAACAGCCTTTTCTAGAAAAGGTTTGTAGAAAACCCTTTGGGACAAACAGAACACCATGCCATGGTGGCACCCCCAACTCTGGATTGCCCACCAAGGGAAATATGAGTGGCAGTGGCCCTGTATTCTTACCGGCAGCAAATTAAAACATTCCTGTTTGCCTAGGCATTTTGAAAATACTCTTAAAATTGAATTAAATGTGCAAGCCAAATTGAATTGAGAGGAATTGTGTGGCTGTTTTTTGCTAGGTTTATGGTTTTGTGCTTCTGTTTAATTTTTACAGTTGCATTTTCTTTATAATTTTAGACCTCCCTAGGATTTCCTTTGAAGAGGAAGAGGTCTAATTTCTACCAAAAGAAGAGCTGGCAGGCTAAAATCAGGGAGCCAAGCCTGTGGTGAGTCCCCCAGCTGCTGCTTTCCCAGCAGCAGGAGAAAAGTCGGGGGAGAGTAGATGATTCTTAATGGACAAGCGGCAGCGGGAAAGAAATTCCGCACCATTCCTAACAATCCTCCTCTGCCACCAAGGACCCATGAGCCCCCCAGTCCCTGCACCTGTGGGGTTCACTTGTCCTCTGCCACCCAAGCACCGACTGCAGCCGCCTTCCCGTATCCCTGCGGGTGCATCCCGGATAAAGAAGCAGAGTGAGAGAGAGAATCTGCAGGAACAGCGAGGGGCACGGAGCCTCCCTTCCCAACAGAATGCCCCGTTTGCTGCACAGAAACACGGCTTGGAAAGGGGAGGGCGGGAGCCCCTGGCCCCTTCCCAAGTCCGTGAGTGCCTCTGCCTTCTCTCCACCAGGGTCGCCTGCTGCTCTCGCTTCTCCTCGCAGAAGGTGGGGGGCTCCTCTCAATGGGTGCCTGCTGGGGAGTGGGGCCTCGGCAAACGCCCGGCCGTGCCTGCCTTCGACACCGGCCCTGCCTTCTCTCCCACTGGCCGGGCACTGGTTCTGCCACATGCATTACAGCCCTCGGCCTTTGGCCGGCTTCATGCCTGAATGTGTGACCCCTGCCTTTCCAGCCACTCCGGCAAGCAAAGCTCCCTATCTGCCCCCCGGGCGGCTTGTCCCCCACCCTCCACTCACAAGAGGGCTGCACTGAGACCCCAGGAAGCTGCAAGCCGGCACATCCTTTCTCAGGAGCCGGGTCTGGGTCTGTGCGCATAATCCCATTTTTCATACATGAGGGTAAAGTTCTGGCCCATACGTGGTGGCCCTGAATGAGCTCCCGTTTCCACTGGAACTTCTCTGATTTCCCGCATGTTCCGATTTCATGGGGGCAGTGCAAATCCCAGAGCAATGGTCATTTTTCTTGTCCGTCTTGCTACCCCACAGAATTTTTTCCCATGCTGGTAGAGTCCGCCAAGCCTGTGGGGTGAGGAGGTGGGGCATTCTCTTCCAACTCCTTTCGGGCGCTGGCGGTGTTGTTTAGTTTGACTTTTTAAACTAGTCTGCAAGAACTTGTGCACCGCATTTGTTAAGCTCCAAGCCTCTCTGAAGAGCTCTGTTGTGTGTCGGCACCCTTGGGCATCCCTTCCTACGCGAGCGTGTCTGCAGGACCGGCACACGAACGAACGCAGACGGGGCTTTCCGAATCGACATTATGAACAAAACCGAAGTCAGTTTTGTTCTTCCATCTTCAGTCCTGAACTTCCCCGAAGGAGTCACAGCTTACAGGGGGTGCTGTGCTTTCTCTGACAGGAGTCCCCTCAAGTTTCCACTGGGCCCCAATTCCCCACAGATAATTAAGTCAGTAGAGAGGACAGTCTGAATCTAATCTCCAGGACAGAGGGGAGTCTGCCTAGCAGGCTGAGTGACTTGGGGGTTAGAGGCCCACCTGCTCTCAATGCAGGGGTCACGCTTCCCCCTGGGGAGCAGAGCTGCAGCTCACATCTATTTATACCTATTTATTATTATTATATCCTCTTTTTTCCTGCAAGGAACCCAAGGCAGCTCACACATCCTTCTTCTTTCCCCCATGTAATCCTCGCAACAACCCTGTAAGGTAGGTTAGGCTATGAGTCAATGACTGGCCCAAAGTCAATGCGAGCTTCTCACCGAGCCGAGCCTGGAACCCAGACCTTCCAAATCCCAGTCCCTCAGTCCAGCCACCACATCCCGCTGGCTTTGCCCCTGCGCCTTGCTGCTGGATTTCCAGGAGACAGCGGCTCGGGGCACCAGGATGACCTTTATTTTCTGATCAAGACAGGTGCGCCATCAGCTGTACATCTTAACTTGGTGCTTGCACTGCAGTAATGTACTTAATTTCTTCCTCTTCCCTCCCCATCCCCTTTTCTTTCTGTGCTGTGCCTTTTTCGATTGTAAATCTGTAGGCAGAGACAGTCTTGTGTGCTGACTGATTGTAAGCCACTCAGGAAGGCCTTTTTGGCTGAGCATTGGGAATGAGAAATTTTCAGTATTATAAATTGTACGGTAATTGAGCTGCTTTGGCAAATAGATCGATGCCTTCAGCAAAAAAAAAAAAAAAAGACCCAGAGACGACCGATGCATTTTGCACTCACGCGACCGTATATTCTTGTTCTGGAAAAACGGAGGACTCCTCCCTGGTCCCTGGCGAGCGCTCACCAAGGCTGCCTGGAGGAACACTGCACCGGCCCCGCAGGCACTGGGGCGCGCAGGACACGCTTCGGCTGCCCCGATCCTCAGCGCAGAAGGTGGGGCGACGCGCAGGAGCACATCAGCCGCTCCTTGCGCCCTGCGCTGGCGCCCTGCACGCTTCCGAGGCCCCTCCGAACATTCCCACGGCCTCCCAGAAACTCCGCGGCCGGCAGCCCGGGAGCCCGCTCCGCCCGCAGGGTCGCCGCCAGCCGGCCACGGCCGCCCAGCGCTCCCCGGACCCCGCCGTACCTTGTTCATGCCGTTGCCCATGCCGGTCCGGGGCGGCCGCGGCAGGCCCGGGGCGGCGGCGCGGCGCGGCGCGGCGCGTCCTTGGCGCGGCCCCGCGCGCC